CCCCCCCCTTTCCGCTTCCCCTTATCCCAAGCATTTATTTTGTCAGGTATTTTGGAGTGTTAGTTGTCTCATTTTCCTAAGACCGATTATTCGAAACACATGGAAAGGTGGAAATCCTAACCCTAAGCTAACAGTCGGAAATAATTGAAGGAAGAAATGTAAACAATGAAATTGTTGGTGAAAGCTATTTAAAAAAACCGTGTAACAAACTGGCTTAGGACCCACGCATGTGGTGAAGCTAGTGATCCCAACTCAGAATACAGTTGTTGCCCGCGCGCCGAATACAACAGCATATGATTGTTTAAGGGAAAGTCTCAGGAAACATGAGGACTCTCGGGAAAACAAAACTGTTTCCCTCGGGACCTTACGCTAAGTGTAGAATGATAACCAGCTCTGAAATCTTTGTTCCCAGTTCCTTTCGTTAACTTTTATAAGGGCAAGAGGGGGAAGAAAGACACTGAGGCGAGGGAATCAAACTCCGTTATGGTTTTACAAGGTTGAAAACAGCGTTCATTCCTTCATATACACAGAGAAACTTGAAGACACTTGTCCAGAATTTTACATCTCCCCAAGAATTCAGTTTTGTGCGTGAACTGTGAGAAATTCATAATGATATTCACGTTAGGGTTTTAATTGCTTTTCAACAGACTCGGTTGCTTGGAAAACCAAGTGGCTCACGAAAACACGTGTGATAATTTTTTGTTTCTACCGTAATTCGGCAGACTATTCTTGTAAAAACAGAATTAAATATGCTTTGTGTCTCGGTTAAAAAAAGCTTAAGAAATAAACCTTGACTTATGAGCGACTGAATCTATTTTTATGAGTGTTTCGACTTGTAAAGTTTCCTACTTGTCAAGGTAAGAAATGAGCATTAACAAACTCTTACTATGCTGAATCATTTTGGAATCCGCTGCACAAGCCAAATTCGATCTCATAATGGCATACTGACATGATATTGCTGATACGTTTTACTGATAAGAAATACCGCTGTATCTGTAGCTCAGTATTTTGCGTCACATCGTTCAACTTCATTTAAATGCTTCGAATGTAAATCGACGTTGAAAAGATCAGTTTCTGAGTTAATTTTTGCAGAAAACTGAGAAGCGCATTTTTTTTATAGAAAGAAATCAAATAATGCATTGAGAGTCACGGTACAAAGCATGACATTACAGAATTAAGAGGAATAATGTTGTGATCATCGGGATTGCGCTCCACCAATTGGCGTTCTTCGTGTTCGTGTGAATTTGTTGTAATTCGTAGTATCAAAGGAAGATAAACTTTATCTTGGAAGCATACTGATAATTTAAGAATCAGTAGCAAACAACATGAAGAGCTACTTGTTTTCCTTGTTGGACTAAATTTGCAAGAAGATCTCAACATTCAATCCAATGATACTAAAAACACTACTCGAATCTGACAGGTGTGTTTACTTCGCAGGATGTTTGCAAAAAAACAGAAAGTACTTCTATTCTCAGCTTTGATTGTTGCTTTGTGTATTATCAATTCTATGATAGCGAAAAAATGGATTCAAGGAGAAAAAAACAGAGTTAGAAAAATGCTGTGCTGAAGAGGAAAATATTTTGCATGATCTGTGAGACAGTGCTAACTGTAATCAGCTTCTTTTATACTGCTTGACGCACGGGGGATGGCATCAAAAAGCAGGTGTGACTAAAGAAAAGATTGACGATAGACGAGAAGCAGACAAAGCGATTCTTGAAAACCTTGGATTTCCAAGAAAGTTTCCCAGAGAGGACAGCCGCTGTGGTCAAGTTTACCATCTTCCTTTCTCAGGTTTGGCATCACTGTGTGATGAAGAGAGTGAAACGCCATGTTGCAACGAAGGAACGGGACTCTGTGGGAATTCCAACGAGGATTGCACGTGCCCGAAATGTAGGGATTTTAATAAGTATATTGCAGGAGAGGTTGCCAAGTAGAAACCCTTATGCTCAAAGTGCCCGTATCAATCTTTTAACTGTGAAGAAGCTTGCGCTTTACTGGATGCGCATGTTTCGGAACTTGTTTTCGTTGGAGACTCATTCATTTCGACACCTTTTTGGGGCTGTCACTACTGCTTACTGGTGATCTATGGAAAGGCGCGCTAAGGAACAATCTCTCCAACATAGAAAGAGATCAGTGTAGTGGAGAACTGCAGTTTGTGGACAGAGGAAAACACTCCTGCCATCTTAAAACTATTAAGGCTTGGGACGAATTTAGTGAAAATCAAGTGTGTGGTGGAAAGGCACAATTTAAGAGTTATTTATTTGAAGCTTACGATTTGCTCCAGCTCCCTCTCGCTGAAAAAGCCGTGACGAATCTTTTAGGAGAACCAGGGGCGATTCTCGTCCTTGGAGTTGGTATTCACATAAATTTGGGTTTAAATGCTACTAAGGTAATTGCAAAATACCTAAGGCCTTTGCTTGCTTTGATTGAGAGTAGAGGAAATGGAAGACCATCGATAATTTGGGCGAATACACACCGATAATTTTTTAACTTCTGATAACTCAAAGAATTACGTGCCAGTTGGAAATTTCAGTCATGAAACGTCTAAGTTTTGCCGCGCAAGAAAGATTCTTGTCCTGGAGAAATCCACCGTTACTCGTTACATTAAGAGTAATGACAGGAGAAATTTTTGTTATGACGGGAACATGGAGAAGGTAGATATTTCTGAATTATTTGGAGAATCGAGATCAGATATGTCAGCGTCCCCAAAAGTGATTTATTTCGCATTTTGAAATGAAATTGAAATGAGGTTTGAAAGGTTGAAACCTTTCGACTCGCATGATCCCCCCCGACATCCTCGTTACCCTTTTACTGGTAAACAGGATACTATCAGCTTTTAGATTACTACCATGAAACAGTTCTATTGTTTATTTCTTCGACTCAGTTTCCACTTCCTTAGATAATGAATAATTAGCTATTAGTTTTAATTTTATTCGGATGTATCTAAACTTTGTCATATATCTGTCGTATTTTTCTCTCTGGTGAAACTCCTATTAGGATTTAGGTAAGTAGACTTATGACTTGGTCGAGGCTATGCCATAACATTTCAGTTTTCCCAAAGTATGAAAACCTTTTTCTTCTCTTGGGTCTCCTGTGTCACCAAACCGGAGCTGCGTAACGGGCAAAGTGGACTTGTCAGTCAGTAGTCCACTGTCCTCTCTCCACGTCAGATCATTGGCATCGCAGTTACACGCTTCGCCCGTGGCGCATGAGTCGTTCATTCCACATGCGCACATGTTGCTGTCGGGGGAAGCTCCTCCCCAATACGTCATTTTCTGTCCGTCACGTGACACCCACCAGCCGTAAGGTGATCCCCTCCAAAGAAGCACAGAATGGCGGCATTCATATTTTATGAACTGTTCACAATGGGTGGATGCCTGGATGAGGTTCTTGATCTGAGTCATAGTTGCCCCCACGTAAGTCACTTCTTGTAAATAGCTCCCTGGGTAAAAGAAGCCTTCGACGGCCGTTCTCTGCTCTGAGTTGTGACTGATCACCGAAACCCCAACACCACCCTTATCAGTCATGTTACAAAACACTTTGAACATCGGTGAATCATCATCTGCTTTTACATTGAAAATACCACTGCGATTATAACCTGCGAGTCTCCACTCACTGCATGATCGCACCTGGACTGTTAGGGCAGAAGTTGCATTTATGACTGCGATTTCGCTTTCTGCTGCACAGCGGTACCATCCACCATCGAGAATAGATGTTACATTTATAATTAAAGTTCCGTTGCGCAAAATCTCGAATGCTTTTGGCATAGCGTCACCTTCCTTAGCCCATTGCATTGGTTGTTTGCTTGCTTGGCAATGCAGTGTCACTGTGCTGCCGAGATATGCATTCATCTGCTCGACTGGTCGGATAAGAAATTTCAGTTTAGGGAGAACGGATAACTTTGCAGACGCTTTGACTTCATTTACGTCATTTTTAGCAGTACACGTGTAGTAGTCACTATCATTAAGGGTGGCGTTGTAGATTGTCAGCTGTCCCTTAAGAGAAGTTGACCCATTTGTAAGTATGCGCCCTCTCTCGGATAGCGCTGTCCAAGTTATCACAGGCTCAGGAAATCCAGATGCTTCACATATAAACATGGCTCTCTGTCCTTCTTCGATCCGTAGTGGAAGAGGCGTCCTTGTCAGTTGAACGGGAACTGGACGAAAAAATTAAGTGAGTATAACAAGTTTACCAATTCTAAAGTTTGTTAAGAGCCCACCTCCCCCGTCCCTCAGCTAATATGAATTCCCACGTTCCTGTTTTTGAACGTTTTAAATCACTTAGGGGTGAGACTGGATATATAGGTAAAGCCTGAGTTAAAGTTCAGCCGGGATCAAGTTCCCTGTTGGCTCATTAGTAACTTATGGGTCCAGATCACAGCCTTCTTTTTATTGACTTTTCCCTAAATCGAGAAAATTTAAATGTTGTACCGTGCACAATCAGTAGCATGGTCGATTTTGCGATTCCCAGCACATTCTTGGCTTGGCACACATACATTCCAGCGTCTTCATACAGAACCCCACTGATAACCATCGTACCATTACTGTGAATCACGTGACGACCACTGGGTAAAGACCCATAGACTCGAACCCAGGTTGTTTGTGGTGAAGGAAGTCCTTTGGCTCTGCATGACAGTGAGGCTGTTTGTGTCTGTCTGATGGTTATCACTTTTGATGGTGTAATAATTGTAGGAGCAGCAACTGAAATACCAGGATCACCTTAAAAAACAATAGTGGAACATTTTGGTTTAACCCTCACGGTGTGTTGCTTTCTAACCAGCGAGAACGTGATTGATATTTTAAAACTTTTAAAATTTTAATTGTGTCGCGCATCCGATGAATTGAGAAATCAGTAAATCCTCACCAGCAATATGCGATCGTTGGGCGGAATCTTGCTATTTTCCTCTAAATAATTCGGCTACATCTTGGAGTGGTGCGTTCTTATTGCAGCCCTAAAGCTGTAGAAACTGACTGGATCAGACTTTAGATTCGCTTGGCGGCTTTCACGCAGCTGTAAGGTGCCCAGTTATTGAATAGCCTAGTGTTTATTTCTACATGCATTGAGGTCTCTAAAAGAGTAATCCTATGAACTGAAACTATCATAATCATCATCAAATTTCCATTATCATCTTCATTTTTATATTGTACTCATAGATGAAGAAGAAGGTTTCTTGTATTGAAGTAAGTCAACTGACCTTTATCTCCTTTCGGTCCAGTCGGTCCAGCGACTCCTTTTTCCCCGCGAACTCCAGGAATTCCTTCAATGCCCACGTCACCTTTTTCCCCTTTAGGGCCCCCAAAACAAAGTCTTTCTTCTTTTGCGCAGAAAACCTGAGTTAGTGAACCCAGCACCATGCGAATTTCGTTTTTTATCTCCATTTTCATCTTTCGATTGATACCTTTCTTGCCTTCCTGGCGTAGCTTGGATTCCTGACCCAGCCCCAGGCCTCTAGAGAATCTTCTTTGGTGATCGTTTTGTTTACTTTCTTGTATTTCCAGGTGGTCTGAAAAGAAATCTTGCGTAATAAATAAATAACGATCGAATCTTAGAATGCTGTCAAACTGAACTGTGTCAAATTCTCAGACCATTTTTAATCTCACCTTCTTAAGTTTGTTTTCGAGTGGCCGAGAGGAGTTCGCGCGCGTCCTAAATGACCGGTTCTATGCCCACATATTTCAGAAATAGTATTTTCTCATGAAATATCTTACATTGAATTTAGCTTGGTAAAATTTCCGCACAGCCCCACACTTCATCATGCATCTAGTTCTTAGATAAAGAAGACAACAACAAAAAAAATTAAATTGCCTTTGAGACTACGACTTTATTTTAGAACAGTATGGGGCTGTGCAGAAATCTTACCCTCCATTCTAGCAAGGTCATAAATCATACATGGACAAAACAAATGAAAGACCCGGCTGACTTTGACGTATCATGCCTCGACACACTGTAAAATGACCCGAACAGGAAACGAAATGAAACAATGGCATTTTTTTTATCTTATTTTCTGAGTCAGTATCGAAAGAATTGTTCGAAAAACAATGAAGGCAATACATGCTTCATCTCACTCATCTCCTTGAGAGGGATTTTTTTTTTATGTGAACGCATAGGTCATAACGATCGGGGTTTATATTGAGACTTTGGATCTTCCCTAAACATGATCGCTGTTTCTGTTTTTAATATGACTGGGTGTCGATTTAGATCACAGAAGGATTTCGTTTGAAGGGGCCATAACCACAGACAAATAGAAAACCAGTTCTTTCGAGTAGTTTAAATTACCATCGTACCACTTGTTCAAACTGAAAAACTGCAACAACCTTTAATCAAAAAAATATCTATAAAGTTGAGATGAGATACATTGATCGGTCTGATGGAATTTGGGATGTTTTCTATTAATTTCCGGACATCATTGAAAATTTCGATGAGACCCCTAAACTGTGTGGGATAAAGTACCGCCCGAGCCTTAAGGGGACTATATTATGACAATATAGCATCTTGTACAACTGAACCTCAGTGCCGGGTTTAAACTCGACATGCGAATAAAATCCGCGTCAATCTTCCTTTACTATTCCTCAATCCTTGTTCTTTGTCATTCATTTCTACCTCTTTAATGTACATATTTCCCCTCTAAACTGCTACTTGAAAGCCTTATTCCGTCCGCGACTGTTTAAAAAAAAAAGACTTTGGAGGCAAGTTGAAAAATCAATTGAAGAATACTTCTATGTACTTACCGCACGGTTTACATGGGCTGTCCTCTGCTTTGAGAATTTGAATCTCCAGATTTTTAATATTTTGGCGCATCAAAGACAACTCGACAGAATTTGTGTCAAGGCGAATGAGAGCTACACTTGAAAGCAACAATGCCGCCACCGCCACTGCAAGGAGGAAACCTTGAAACGCGTCGGCCATTTTAATCTTAGGTTGAAGCTCTTCTCATATGGAAATGAAATACTGAGTAAAAAACAATCGCTGCATGATACTGACAAGTTCATGGCCCCAAGGAAGACGGGTATTTTTAAAGCTCTTCCTAACGAAACAAAACTCACTGCATGCCTCAAAATCGGTCATTTTAGATCGAGCTCTAAAAACCCTTATTCTTTCGAATTGTGGCTAAGTCAGCTGGCCATTTCAAGTGAAAACGACATTCTTTTTTCCTTTATTTATGCTTTGCGGCCAAATAATTTTTTTCATATCTGAAGCTTCGTACTTACCTTAGTTTGTTTATGACAGAGAATTCTTCGCGCATCTCAGAAATCGAATCTCATGATCTACTAGGGCCCATTTTCTGGGGTTTTCACCGCGGTTTTGAAAAAACGAGTCACCCCAGTTCTTTCCTTTAGCTATTAAGAATCGAGGAGGCTTTAATGTTGTATATAGCTGAATAACATAGTGAACAACATATTTTCATTTCATATTATTTTTGATTAACTAAGTTGGATATACCCACAGCAATGTATAACATGTATAATACTCATATGTGTGTCTTCAAATATGTTTTTATTGAAAGGGTACGTTTTACACAACGTGTATTTAATAAAGATTATACGCTTTATTAAAGAATTCAAGTGTCTAGCAATACTTAATAGTATGTCGGTATATTGATTACCTCTTATAAAACCAAGAAAAAGCGGGTTTGGCGGTTTATGTGATCATTAGTTAAGAATTGCTACATTCTAGCCGTCTTCATTTTCTTTGAATAATTTCTTATCACTCGATTCACTTAGTCCTCGAACTAAGTTTCTGTATTTTGACTATGATATGACAAATAACTAAATCGCTATAGCTGCAGCCAGTTACACTTGTAGGCCATCTTACATTTCGTAGCAAATCTTCAGTTTAACATAGTACTATAACGGTTTTGAATATTGACCAGGCGAGTGTCCTTGCAAAACAATCTTCAGGGAACGTTTTGCAGTCACACCTTAGCGACCGGAATATTGAAATACCGAACGTCTTACTGAAAAAGTCCAAAACATTTCAGTTCCCCAAGTGTATGAAATCCAAACTCGCGGTTAAATTTGCCAGCGTCTCCGAATCTTAGCTGAGTTACAGGTAAGGTGGCTCTGTCCGTCAACATCCCCTCGTCACGGCGAAGGACGTAGTCATTAGCATCACAGTTACAGATTCCTCCCTTAGCGCACGTGTTGTTTACTCCGCATGCACACATTGCACTTTCAGGTGGAGCTCCTCCCCAGTACTTCATCTTCTCTCCGTCGCGTGACACCCACCAGCCTACAGGCATACCTTGGTTCAGTAGCAGTGAGTTCATACAGTCGTATCGGATAAATTGTTCACAGTGAGACGAGACATTGATCACCGATACAATCTGAGCCAATGAGGTTGTTGTGTAGTTGATATTTCTTTTGTAGCAACCTGGTGGATCACATGTGAAAGTTTGAATTCGGCCTTCACTGTCGTGACGAAAGATTGTAATTCCGACGCCATTTTTATCCTCCATGTCGCAGAGCGCTTGAAACGCAGGAACTGGACCCTCAATATCTGGATCAATCCGGTACTCTGCACTTTCTGTGTAACCAAGCTTTCTCCATTCAGTACAAGTTCGGACCAGTACGTCCACTTCCACTTCAATTTCAATAGAAGTGATGATATTTTTCGCAATGCACTCATAAGAACCAGTGGCGTCAAAAGATGCGTTAGCGATGAACAAAGTTCCATTTTCATCTAAACGAGACCCAGAAGGTAAACCGCCAGATGTCTTCGACCACGTGACAACAGGAATGAATTCTCCACTGTCTGCTACGCATGTCAAAACTACGTCATCGCCAACATGAACCTTCGTCTTTTTCTTTGGAACAATAACAAATTTCAAACGAGGAACTACAGTCACTCCCAGAATAACGACGACTTCGTTAAAGATGTTTTCAGCCAGACATGTGTAGAAGCCGCTGTCTTCAAGCTCAATTTTGTTAAATCTTAATTCTCCTTCATTTAGAAACGTTTCCCAGGCGGAGGGGGCACCGGAAGTTTTATTCCATGTGATCTTCGGCTCAGGTCTTCCAAATACAGGACAGCGGAGTGTCAATTCGCTTTCCTCTTCTACGAACGTATGGGGCGAATGGTCTAAGATGCGAACGGGAACTACAGATAACAAACAAACATAAAAAAGAATAGTAAGCAAACAAATAGACTGGAACGATAACACCTCGCAAAAAACTGAAATGAAAGTAAGAAGAAGATCTGAATCAGTGGATCGTGCTTGGTTCGTAATCCTATACAGGACAGGTCATTGTTAATTACTTTGGAGAGGGGTGGGGGTGGAGGAGGTCGCTCTATAATTATTATGCATATGATCCCCGCCTTCATGCTTTGATGGCGATGAATGATCCCCCCCCACCTTGTGATTTCCCCCCCCCCAAAATCAACAAAGCCGTTTTTCTGGTATTCAGGGCTGACTTTTTTCGGATTAAGGGGGGGTAAGTTTCTGATAAAGAAACTGTGGTGCTGCGTCGGTGGGAGAGTATAACAGGGTAATTTAGTATTATTAATTGAGTTGATAATGTAAATTGGCCACCGTGAAGAGTTCGCTCTGACGAGGGGCTTACGCTCTAAACGTCAGTTTTTAACCTCTTTACAGTGGCCAATTTACGTTATCAAATCAATTGATAATACTAAATTACCCTTTTTCGGATTACCCGGTCACCTAAATTGTTTGACTTAATTACCGATCTATGTTCCATAACTACATCTTACCTAACACAGTTAAGTTTGCCTTCGCTTCCACCTCACCAACAAAGTTCAACGCTTTGCAAACGTAGGTACCTTGATCACTGGGGACAGCGTCCATTATCATTAAGGAGCCGTCAATCAAAGTAAAACTCCTCTCGTTCTGCAGTTGGCCGCCTTCTCGACTCCAGATTATATCAGGCCTCGGCATTCCACCGGTCATGCAGAGAATGGAGGCGGTGTCATTCTCTCTCACTGTTACAGGCTGTGGTTTTACAATAAAAGCTGGCATGGAGGGCGTCAAAAGTCCATCAGCACCGGCCCCTAGGGTAAAAAATCATAGACGTGACTTTGTCCGAAATCCATCTAGATAAAATTTGATTCACCTGCCGTCCTTGAAACTAGTTTAATTGGATGAATCTAAATAACGCTGAATAAAAAAAAACTGTAACTGTTTCACGGTAAGATCTGGGTACGAGATTAACCTCGGCTTACCTGAGTCACCTTTTTCTCCTTTTACCCCCGGCTGCCCGGTATCCCCCTTTTGTCCCTGGGGGCCCCGTTCTCCAGCTGGTCCCCTATCACCTTTAGGTCCTACGGGTCCTTGAACACAAATGTTTTCGTCATTTACACAGATCTTGTTCTCAAGAAGGGAGCGCAGTTGATTTTCTGTGAACTTCTGTACACATGCTATCAATTTCTGACTGCACTCCAAGTCATGCTCAATAACATCATCGTTGTCCCTCTTGGCTCTACGAGCGTTTGTTTCATCCAGATCTGAAGCGTTCGAATGGTTCAGTATTAGGTACTGTTATTGAATATCTTAATAGTTCATACTATCTCATAGCTAAAAACAGATGAGCGCTAAATTGGGACAAGTTCATTTTCAAAGTCGACTGTTGACGATCACATAGGAGTAGTCGAAATGATCGCTACTGTAAATCCTGGCAGCACTTTTTCTTCTACGGAACAACAGAAGGGGATTGTTTTACAGTACAATTTAGTTCCGGAGGTACTCAAAAGAAAGCTGAATGCCAGCTCTAGTTGACGAGAGTCACTGTAATAACTTTGAATGGGCGTGGCTCATACAGTGTCGGAGGAGAACAATAATACCTTTCGGACATTTTATATGGGACCTTTTTTTGAGGAGGATCCTTCTCGAGAGGAACAACAGTACCGTGCACCTCTAAGCTGTTTACAAAATCTCGTTAAGAGAACAACTGAGGAGCAATTATTTCAAGGTTTATCTATTTGTTGTTTATTTTCGTTTAATGAAATCTGTAGCGATGCCAATGTCCACCTCTCCTCCTTTTGGTCTCTTCCTACTTTGTCAAAAACGACCTGCACACTAAATTTTACTGCGGTATTCATAATCCTATTATTAGGCAGATAAAAACTTCCGAACTTATCACGTGCAGTGCATTCAACTTCTGTTTTTGAGTGTCCTGATTGCCAATTGATGAAATGAAAATAACAGGTGTGACGAAAATGACAGTTATGACGAGAAACTCCAAGTTAACATAAACGACAAAAAATAACGGAAGGGGAAAGTAACATTGAATAAAAACAAAAAGAGAGAGAGAGCTCTACAACTGGATTTTGTATAGAGTGAAATTAGAGGAGGAGCCGTTTGAAGCTAGCGAAGCCAACAGCAAAGTGGTTATGAAAACAATACCTACATGGTTTAGCTGCGTGTTCCAGTGTTTCTACCCGCCGCTGCAGTCGTCGATGCTCGTGTGACAGCAGAAAACACAACAGAAAGCAAATTGTGAGAGCTGCGAAGGATAAATATGTTCCTGTTTTAGACATACTTATTTCTGAAGGAGTGATTCGTGTTCCAAGGCCTGTTTTTGAGCTCTAGTTGGATATTAATGTAATAAGTTTGGTCTTTCAAGGTGCTTATTCACGTCAATGCTGAGATTTTTCATTACTTTTGGGGCGTATTTGGAAATGTACCAGCAACCAGATTAGAGAGTAATAACAGCTGATCTGTCACTCATGCCCTCGGGTAACAAGCTTATCAAATTTTTCATAGGGGCCGATTGCACTGCGCCAGAAGATACTGGAGATCGTTTTTCAGATAATATTAAACATCAAAGAGGCCGATATCTTGCCCTCAAATAAGAAACAATTATCGATTGTTTTTTTCCTAATTTAGTGTGCAATATGTCCTTATCGCTCACCAACGTGCAATTTGCTAAATTTTCCGAAAAGCACGACATACAACGTAAGTGTGATCAAAAAAATAACTCTCATCATTAACAACCATTTGGTTAAATTAAAGTAATCGAACTTGATAGTTTAATTGATTTTCAACTCAACCTCTCTCAATAATCCCCGCCTATTGCCTTTGGGATCTCACGCAACCAGGATCCTGTCTAAAGTACACAGGAGTGACCACGAGTGACCACGAATGACCATGATTGACCACGAATGACCACGAATGACCACGAATGACCACGAGTGATGAAAGTTTTAAAAAGTTAATCATTATCTAAAATAAAGATAATAATAAGAAGAAAAATATTACAGACAATTTAATGGGAAATATCAAAGGAAAACAACTTTAGCCCTTATTTATTAAAAACCCCGAATAAAAGGAGAAAAGTTAAATTCTCTGATTTTTCCGTTTTTGGAATCATTTATCGACTTTGTGCATGACACGTGATTTTATTGTAAGTTTTTATGAAAGCTTATAAGTCAAGTCTAGTTTTCAACTCTTCATTCATAGTTTGACCTATAGGTCGTCGACTGAAGTAACGCAATCTTATCGTTTAGCCGCAATAAATAACTTTTGAAAATGCTTTAAGTATATATCTATTAATAAAATTAATATATTAATTATCTTAAATATATTTTTGTTTTAAATAGTCATTCAGAAAGCTTAAAATCCTTTTTTTGGTTGTCTAAATCAGCGATGCAGAATGACAGATCGGTGTCATTGTGTAAATAAACAAGCAAATAATAACGGAAACATCAGGGCATTTAACTTTTTTTCCTTTTATTCGGGGTTTTTAATGAATGAGGGCTACAGTTCTTTTTTCTTTAATATTTCTCATTAAATTCACTGTAATATCTTTTTTCTTATTATCATTTTTATTTTAGTTAATGATTAACTTTTTTTAAATTTTTCCACTCGTGGTCATTCGTGGTCATTCGTAGTCACCCGTGGTTACTCGTGTGTACTTTTAGACATGATCCGCAACCAGTGAAACCTTGAAGAGCAAGACATCGGTTGACATTTGATAGCAGTTGATAGCCTCTTGCATTTTGTACACACAGAGGGAGGGGTGGTGCTGAGGAGGAAACACTATCATCAACCCTTTACACCTAAACATCAGTATGCACGTTCTCCATACAGTTGTTTATACATTTGCTAAGGTGCTGACAAGGAGAATTTGTTTAATAATCAGGAGCTTCTTTAGTTGGTGATCATTTCCTTTATTCTTATGATCCCAAATGAATGATTCTGCAGTAGTCAGGAGAAGCTAGACTCTGGTCACTTTTATGGTGTATGGGGTTAATGAGCTGCATGGCAATGCTCTTTCCAAAGGCATGTCATTTCCAGGCTGGAGGTATACAAAGGAAAGAAGATTCCATGACATGGGGTGTTGATAGGAATAAGGAAAACTTTAATTGAATCGAGAGGGTAACTGTATGGGGGCACTGCAAGGAAAAGCAGTTTTAACACAATTTTTTAGCAACTCAGTGATGTCAATACTACATACTTTACTGATGTGACATTGAGTAGAAGGTAAATTAAAGGATTACTTAAATACCATGGACAATGTGTGTCCAGTAGAACTTTAGTTTGCTGTTGTTGTTGTTTTCTGTACTGATAAAATCTGAAAACGTTATGGATGGGAAATCCGAGGGAATAGATCTCGACAAATATTTGTTACAGTCCTCTATTGAGCTTTGGTGTTTCCCATCAGCATCATTGCTCACCAATGGTGTAGCAATTCACACTTAGCATATTCAAGTTTACAGCAGCTGCATGTTACAAATGCAGGTGAACAAGTGACTCTTACTAACAATTGTGTTATATAAACTAAACATTTATTATTCTTTGCTAGAATTCATTCATACATATGAAGTTGTTACATTGTTAACATTCAGGATAAATATGTCCAGATAAATATCTTAAATAATACAAAGAAATACTATTCATTACTAGTCTTGTTCCTTAGTCATAACAACATTGCACTAAGGAAGGAGTTTAACTTTAATGTCCCTGTGTAACACAGAGGACGGGAATATGACATAAAAAAATCTAAATTGCAACTTGGCTCAATCTGTCATTTAGTTTAACAATTCATTAAAAACAGAAAAAAAGAAAATTTCTATGAAAAAGTCCAAATTTTAACATTCTAGAAAAGTATATGTGTCATTACAATGTGGCACAAATGATTAATATAATGAAATGAATACAACTTTTTGTTAAGGAGCCATTCCAACACAAGTGTCCTTAATGATGTTTATGACAGAGATTAAAGCCACATGTACTAGCAAAATCCAATTTAATCTTCTTTCCTGACTTATCCACACATGTCCACTTGCTGTGATGTATATGTAAAGAGCACTTCAGTGGTAAAGAGTAACCAGCTTTCTTACAGGCCAGAATGTGCTTCACATCAAATGGAGATTGCTGAACAGGTGTACCTTGGGATGGTCGACAGAGCCCTCTATAAAACAGCTTTGCTTTGAAACAGTTTATTTTCAGTGGAATTGAGCCTTCTAATGCTTCTCTGCAGGGTTCTTCGTCATATTCTTCATCTACTGGTTCTTCAGCAGAGGTCTTTAATTTATTGCCTCCTAAAAGAAAAAAAAATATACTAAATAAATTACCAATGGCACTGAACAGTTACATTTGAGAACTTAATTAACCCTTAAACTCTCATGAGTGACTCGGGCACAATTTCTCCTTACAATATCAATACAAAATCAAGACAGCAAGTGATGAGAACCAAGAAAAGTATCAATTAGGGGATTATTAGTTGATCCAATACCAAATTCTCAGAAGTAAAATCAGAAGAATTGCATAGCAGGCAGCAAAGAGAATTACTAAAAAGATCTTGGGAGTTAAAGGGTGGAAGAATACAGTATTTGAGATGATTCATTAAGCATCTGAGAATGTGGAAATAATTCAGCTAAAGCCTTTTTTCAGACTTGTGGAATATGCTCTTGTTATTTTAAACTGTTTCCTTGCAACTAAATTTCTTAATGAAACCTCTGAAACAGTATATTGTTGCACTGCTCACTCACTAGACTAACCTTTACGTAGGCATGTCCGTTCACATTCATCTTTAGTCCTGAAATTGTTTTTGTTTCCCTGACATCCTCCATAAATGAATTTTGTGCAGTTTTTCCACACACTGTTGTAGTACCATCTTGGAAAAATAGCCATACACCTGCCAGGTTTTCTTTCCTGGTTGCAGATATCTGTAAAGATACATGCCTGTTAAGTCTACTCAGGGGACAGTAACGTCACCTTTCTCTAGATATTTGACAATGGCACTCTCTGTTAGGAAAGCAGGGAAACTACCAATACAGGGCCACTTTTGAAGGAACACATATATACAGTGGCTCTCTTCAGTGGCTAATTTTGCTCAGCAGCAGATAAAAAAACAAGGAATGATGAATACATGCATTAAGTCATACAGAAGTTCAATGTTTAATGACTTGTTTGGCTCAGCAGTGGATGAAATAATGAGGAATAATCTAGGGAATATATATTTAGTGGCTAATGTTTGGCTCCTTTGGCCAGGCAGTGGATGAAAGAATGAGATTAATCCTTAAGCATGTTAGTCCAAGATTTATATATTCAGTGGCTCATAAGGCTCATTAGTGGATGAGGGAACACGCGTGTGAACTCTTACAACAATATATTAAGTGGCTCCTTTGGCTCAGCAGTGGAAGAGCAAGCTAGCTAAATGAGTTGTCTTGTTTAATGGATGGTTTAAAGTAGCCCTGTTTTCTGTAGTTTGGACAGCAAAGCTGGTTTCCCTCATCTATGGCATATTTGCCACAGTTTTATTGGATATTGAAAGTTTTCGATGCTGCATCACTTAATTAAGGACCGCATTAATTAATTTATTCCAGGGTAGTGTTAATTTCCAAGAATCGCTTTCTACTCCCTGACAACAATTTACGCACATTTTTTATGAATATGATGTCAAACAGAAAAATGGTCACGGTCTCCCTTCAGCTGGGATTGAATCCGCATTGACTGGCTTGTAATATGAACAAGAAAGACAGAGAGGATTTCATAGTTGTCAAACAGAAAAATGGTCACGGTCTCCCTTCAGCTGGGATTGAATCCGCATTGACTGGCTTGTAATATGAACAAGAAAGACAGAGAAGATTTCATAGTTGTACCATACATATATGTTCTCTTCTAATCACAATACAATCAGAAACGTTCAATTAATTTTATTCGATGGGCGACAATCGATTGATAACGATAGTTATCACAGCTTTTGTAAAATGCCCTATAATATTCCCCGCTGGCTAGTTGTGACAGTTAAAAACACATTTGCAAAGTTGGCTAGTCAACACGGCATATGAAAGAAGGTACAATAATAAATTTGTAAGCAAACCAAATTCTACGAATGAATCAGCCAACTTTCAATATTGTAGCGTCTTTTGTCATGTGCTATATTTAGAAATTGACATTTTATCCTTCCCGTCTCACTTTTGTCAATCTAAGCTACGACATTTCAACCGATTTTTGACAACCTACAACATTCATGAAATTTATATTCTACTTGAGAACTTCAGCACAGATGTTTTGTGAGACGCTGAAGGCAAACGGAAGAAACCAACTGCTTCAAGCGCGCCTTGACAACAACCAATCAACTTTCGCATTTCAGACTACACCACACTTACGAAAGAACTTTAAAAAGCGCTAGCGAAGACAAATTTTGTCTTCTGTGTCATATAAGCTGTGCTGAAGCTTTCAATTATGACTTGCATGAAAGTAATCGATACCTGAAGAACTTTCATCGAAATCTTCCCGGCTCTTCACGCCAATAACCTAGAAGGAAAGACGTGGAGAGAATCAGCAGTTATGAAAAACATGAAACAAATATTTCCAGCACGAAAAATATGCAATTGAACTTACAAGAAGCGCAAGAAAAAGGCAAGGCAAAGCAATGTGATTAACCGCCATACCGTCGTCGGTTCGCTAGAGCCCGAGGACTCTTCTCTATAAATAGAAGCTGCAAAAAAAGTCGTGACGTCATGCTAGGCCACAATTCCAAACCGGAAATTCCACGTGAAAATAACTCTGCGAATTTTAGGGTGCGCCCATTCAGCACATTCGGAAATTTTACCCATGCCATTCCTATGTTTAACCTACATTTACGCAATAATGGGTGGTTCTACGTGGCCGTGACCGCTAACTGAATTTCCAAACACGTTCAAGAAAGTTGTAGTGAACTGAAGATTTTGGAAACATCATCCATTATGGCAGAAGTTTCTCAGGCTAGTTTCTTGAAGGGGGAGGGGGGATGACACAGAAGTGAAGGAGAACTCAGCTGATAACCAAGGGGCATCTTATTAAAAGTTTTCTGGAACATCTCCAACTCCAATTATCATTATCTTTTTCAAGGAAGATGAGCTTTGTCGTGAACTAAAGAAAGTCGTTTATCATCGTTCTAAGGAGGTTGATATAAATTAAGTACAGAGCATACATGATCGATCAAACCCTGGACCTTCAGATTTCTACGACAATGCTTTGCAACTGAGCTGCAGTGATCTAAATGGTGGGCTCTAGGCAATTATTAGATTCATTGTGTCACAAGCAATACCCTTCTAAACGAATAAGGGTTTTAGCTTGTCAAACACCTCCTTGCAATGTACATAAAATTTGGGAAAAGAACTACTGAGAGTGTCAAAAGACTACACAAAATTCCCTTTCCAGAGACAGTCTGTTAATTTTATTAAGAAGTGAAAAATACTCTCAACAAACCCATAGTGCATGCTGCACTAAACCAACCCCACTACTTAACACTTTGCCTTTCTTTACAATGATTTAATACAAAATTAGTTAAGAAAAATATATCAAAATTATTTTCGGTTACATTTATCTTCTATTTCAATTCAAATATTCTGAGCAAACAAAGGTAAAATTTTAAGGTTATAACATTTCACAGTTTGCTGCAGTAACTTAAACTGGTGTCTATGCAATCAATGCTAAAACATTAAAAGACCAAGAATACTCAGCACGACAGAATCTAAGGTGACTGATTCATAAGTGGCTTCTCCTCTATTCTTCTCTCTTAGTTGGTTCTGTGTTGTCCACTGAAAAAGATAAAAATATTATTCACTATAAACATATTCTTACAATTTCCTGATTGAATGATGTTGAAAAATTCACATTTTGTATGTGAAAATGTCAATGGATTTCCTCGGGTGTATGTGATTCCTTTTCTGGCAATTTTAAAAGATAAAAAAAAACCTATAGTGTTGAGATGGTGATGTGGGATTTCATAGTTGAAGAATCCCATCCCTGGTATCTGTTTGATGAGTTGGCAAAAATTAGTACACCTAAAAAACTTTCCCTGCTGAGCTAAAATCGAATTAACATGTTTTTGGCTCTAGACAACATAATTCAAACTGAAAGAATTGTAAGTTCATGTCCTTTGGAATGCTGGTGTAAAAAATAACAGAGATATTTTTCTTAAGTGCAAATTATTGCAAACTTAGTAGACTATACAAGGCAATTTACTGTGCTCTTACTAGGTGAAAACTGGATAAATTTGAAACAATAAACAAAAAAATGTCCTGTAGCATTAAGATGATTTATCAGCACATTCCCCTGTGTTACTAACTGCTCATAGCTGAGTGCTTCATGACCATATGGAAAAAGAAAATTATGAAACCTCCAACCATACAACTAGACACACATCTCAGAATACCCACCACAATCTGAAAGGCCTTCAATTTTGCTGCCATGTCGGTCCACACACCAACATTCCTTTATTCCCTGACGATCTGCAGCTCTGCATTGACGAGGCAAATAAAAGCCATCTTCGTCACAAGAGGGAGTGTAAACACCAGGCAGGACATGTGCTTCTCCTCTGATGAGAAGAGCTGGTAGGTGTTTACGCAGCCTGTGCAAGCAGGGTGGTTCTAAAAAACAATGTAGACTGATTTGAACATTTGAACATTTGATGCATGAAACAGTAAGTGCAATCAAGAATGACTTGTCTTTAGTTATATTCTTGACTTTCTTTTGATGCTTCGGCATTAAATAGTTTGTTTTTTCAAATTTATAATTTTTTTTACCTGTAATTTGTTCTAGACTTGTTACTGCACCTGGCCACAACTGATAATAATCAACTTATAATGAATCCAAATTGTTATTTTCAAAACATAGCAGTACGCACAAAATAATTCCCATCTGGCATATAAATATGCTTAGAGTTATTTTCTGGTACCCATACTTCTACTCCCTTTTATTTATTAAAAATCTAGAGAAAATCTCCATTTACCAACAGATATGAAACAACTGCAAAACTCAGCTTCAGTAAAGGTCTCCTTCTCATTGGCACAATTCTTGAAGAACTTTTTTATGCAAGGCTCTGTTGCAATGTCGTAAATGACTTCCAGTTCAGACTCATCCAACACACCATCATGGTTTTTATCCAACACAAGACGGAACACAGAACTAATTGGCTCTCGGATGACACTTTGATCAGAGCCTTAACATATTGAAAAAGACACATATATTCAATCACAAAATTAGGAATAGCTTATCCGCATTTCCAATGGAAAAATAGGGGGTTACATTCACAAACATTTAGAGGTAATTGCTCAACAGAAACAAAGACAGCTGTAGCTACAAGAATTTGAACGATAATAAAATTTAAAGGCAAGCACAGTTGAATACCAGAAAAAAGTTTTCTTCTCTTTTTGGTTTAAAAAATTTCCTATCAACAGGGCAACTTAATTCTCATGCTAACTTACCCACAAGAAAAACAATGCATGAAGACAATCCACAAAATTATACAAACACACAAGAGAAATCACAGTGGAAATATAAAATGACCAGATCTAAGTTCATTATCTGATTGCACACCTGATGGAAAAGGCATCTTTGCTTCCTTCAGTTTCAAGTGAGGAATTGCCTCTCCAGGCCTTTGTGATTCAAAATCACCATTCTTCTTCTGCTCCTCCCTGATGTGCATTGCACGCAAGACATGGAACCAATCCAACAGACGGTCTGGCAAAGCTGTGCAGTTTTCTGTGTCAGCTGAAGAACATATATGAAAAGACAGTTATCATCATGATAAGCTGGGTAATTAAGTGTTCCTTATCAAGATAGAAATCACAGTTTCAAAATAACAATACAAAATACACTGTAAACAAATAATACTAAAAGTCAAAATTTGGATTAAACCTTTAACTACCAAGAACTGAATGTTAAGTCTTTCCTGTAACTGTTACATATTTTCTTTTAGAAAAGTTAAGAGAATTTAGTGTTAGATCAAGATGGCAACTTGTGCCTGATAAGTTTGAGTATTCTCATGACCTATTTGCCAGATAATGTTTAGATATTAAAGGGAGAAGGTATGTGTTCATCACTTTTGGGAGTTAAAGGATCAAACCATCTCTTACACAGGCCGCCCAATTGTGGAAATGAAGGGTTTCTTTTTTATTTTTTCTCTAATATAGTGGACTTTACTTAAGCAGTTGCCGCAAAGATCACTTTCATATTCTTTTTTTGTTTGCAGGTCGCATCTATGATTTTCATATATTCACAGTCATTCATTTTCATTGTTAGTGATGTTTTTTAGTACTATGCTGATGTGTTTAAGGCTAGATGGGATCCACATCTAATCCTACTAAAAACAAAATGGAAACTTCTATTTACTGTTCTCTCTCATCCACTCTTGGAAAAAATGCAACCTTTTGTTTCCTATTTTTTTCAGAGATATATCACTTTGGTGATTACCAAATGCCCATTTCATCCATAGATTAATTCTTACATTTTCCCCTTGAGCTAGTCAATGTCAGTCTTTTAAAAAACTTACGGGCTGTTGGCAAGCGTTCCTGTAGAACAGCCTTCTTGATCTGATTCCAATGAGCCCACTTTTTCAGTTCTTGAATCCTGTCCTGTTATCCAAAATTTATGAATAATTATCAAATATGGTAACATTGTTTTTAAAGTGCAAAGTTCAGGTCTGAAAAGTGGTAAGAAATTGTCCAAGAAATTGATGAAACATACCGTGGTTCTCTTCCATTACCCATAATTCCTCATAGATAAAAATTGATGCATCAACCATAAATGCAACCATAGGTAACCACATGGTGAATTTCATTGATTCTCACTAGTGTTTTTTACCAATTTCCAGACCTCAATTTAATCCAACAGAAACCCTGTATTGCCACAGTATCTTGAGAAAAACACAGAGCCTGGGTTGACTATGGTCGTACAATCGAACATCGCGCATTCACAAGTAAAATAATCGACCCTTGACTCCCTCTGTTATTTGTCATGTTCCTCGTAAACAAAGACACATTGTTTGAAACATTGACACTTTTTGGAACATCCCCAAATAACTTATTTAACCTAAGAGCAACATGAAAACAGTTTTGGCCAAATGTGGCTTTAAAAATTCGGGAAGGCAAAGTTATTCCACCGATGGAAGCCCTGGAATTCGGAGAGCAAGGATCACCTCCGCAAAAAACAATTGAAATAATATCACATCTCGACACAGGACAGCGGACTAAAAACGTCGCTGTCTGCAAAATTGATTAGTATTCTTTCAAAAAATATATTTCCATTATCGATCGCTTTCAAATGAACTGCAAGTCTGAAAACTACAATATAATTCACTTGGAGAAAATCTTGATCTGTCATAAGCGGAGGCATCGAAGGTATTAGGGACGCCTTTACGACCGATGTCAAAATTGCCACGTTGAGGACAATTTCGATTGTCATGAGGTTTTACTTGCTTCTGGAATAGTGCGACGTGAGCCAACCATCCGCTATGTTCAAATAAAATTTGAAACTTTGAGATCTTTTCGAGAAGTTAGCGATATAAGGATGAATATGAATGCTTGATGCTTACTAAAGGAGATAATAACAGAGTCTTTGAGGATCACAAGCAACTGCACGACATAGAATCTCACCTTTTTTGCCTCTACCACGAAGAGGACGAAGATCACAAGAGCCACAGTCCACAACAACTTCATGTTCGTTAGAAAAAAACCTTCAATGCAAGAGCTAAGAAAAGGGAAGCCGCAAAATCGTCAGAAATCCAGAGGAAACTCTTGACGATATCTTACCAGCAACGTCTGCTACTTGGTTGTTGTGTCAGTGTCCGAAATGTGACACTACCGAATGATTCCAAGTCCAGTGACTTGATTGGTTCGCAAATAAGGGGATTTTTTTCCCACCTAGGTGGCACCGGAACTTTGGATTGTCTCCTCAATTCTGCGGTGTAAGGTGTGGAATCTGCGTTCAAAGAATTTTTCACGAATACCAAATTTTGATCCATTAGAGCTTCTGCATTTCAGAAAACGAATGCGTAATGAAAGAGGACAAGGGCTGAAACAGTTCTCGTGATAAAATTGCGGAAAGCAGTAGCGAGATAAATTATTTGGAACAGTGAATTTTTAAGTTATACCGGATGCCTCTTCCGGACCCTCAGTCATAAGAGAAGGTAAGAGCTCGTCAGGGACCCCCACCGTATTTCGTTACCCCGTTTTTACGTTTGTTTCGGGATAGTCCAAACCATTGCCAGTGAAGGTGTGTTAATCATCAGCGGTGAAGTTATTTAAGATTTCGACAACAACAGTAGTAACAACAGCAACAAATTAAAAGATAATCATTTTGCCACAATATATATAACATACTTTTATATAAGATCTATCTATGTAATACTTGACTAAATAAAGCAATAGCCCATTTCGAGGACCAGTGAGGTTCAGCCTGGAGTCCTAAACAAATTAACAGGTGCGGTCAGAAAACCTTTTGTTCTCTGCTGCTTCTTGAGAATTCAACTTACGTCTTTGAAAAATAAATTAGTAAATAAGAAAGGAAATAAATAGAAACAACAATCAGAGAAAATAAAATAAAAAATAAAGAATTTAAAAATAAGAAAAAAAGAAAGAATATGAAGTCTGATATCCCCCACCCCCTCCACAGTAGGCAAAACGTGCACCACCCGCTCCCGCAACATATAGCCCAGCGGTTTCCTTTCAAAAGGAACATGGCGTCTTTAAAGTGACATTGGTGTCTGTCGTAAATTACCATTTCCGATGTGAGTTTTCTCGTGTTTTAGAGGTTTTTTGGCTGAATCTTCCCTGCCATGTGCCGCAATTGTGCTTTACCTGAATGGGGGGAGCCTATAAAAGTTCCTGTTGGAGAACTTCCGCAGTTTTTCGCCAAGCAAATCAGCTGGAACTTTGAGAGGCTAAACTACGGTGGAGGTGCTATTATGGAAACTGTTTCTGGCCGGCCAGAGCGTCCTTCAGTAACCGGACGGCTTGGCTGTAGATTGAGGGAAGGCATACAGCCTCCGACTAGAGGGAAACGTACTGAAAGATACCTTCTTGTGAGCGAATGTTTGTATTGTCCCGGCAAAAGGTATGGATGCACTCCTAGGGCCAACTGTACGGGGAAGCGTCGGAATTGCTACGCGATGTGCAAAGTTACAGTGTATGCCGATGTGCCTGATGTTGCTGAAGTTTCTTTCTCGGGTAGCCACGGAAGTGGCAATGTCACAGATCCTTCTTTACACAGATCTCCACATGACCCTAAAAGAAGACGGCTTGCCGAAGACGATTCCATCGATCAAACACAGGTAAGGTCACTAGGATATTTTAACCAAGGCGGACAAGGCTGATGAATTGATGTACATTTATGCTTCAGTCATTTTAATCTCCCCACCCCCTCCCCTCTTTAGTTGGCTCCTGTGTCAAATAATTGGTGCATTCCTTCTCAATTCTTACACATAAAATGCATCATGGGAATGAGAAGCAAGTTTATAAAATGTAATTAGCCCTTGGTTGGGTAAAAATTCCTTCATGGTGATTGGCTGAGATGAGAAAGCTGAAAAGGAATGTTATTCTGAGACAAGGAGGTATTTGTCAGATGTGGAGTTATAACATTGAAAAAAAGAACTAGCATTTCTATGATGTGCTATTTTCCTTCTAATAGTAGTTTTATTTTATCTTTATTCTTTGTGTGCCTCAGAGATGGAAAGAAAGTGATCGGCCAACAATGGTAGAGTCTCTCAGTTCTGATGGACCTAACCTCAACCATCCAAGTACAAATATGGTAACAGTTGATGTTGGGCAAAATGTTATATTGACAGGAAGTAATGTAGATGTGGTGAACCCCCATAACAATTCAAGTTCACCAGAAATTGTGCTTTGGACCTCATCAGCTGGAGAACACCCCGGTAGTCATCAAACTAGTGCCAGTTGGGCAAATAGTAATGGTTCCTCAAGTAGTGGACAAAGCACACCCAGTACGCCACTTAATACACCATTATCTGTACCAGGATTAACTCTTCAATCTCCTACACATACTAATGCCAGAGGGGCTCCACCCAAGGCGCCTGGATTAAATTCACAATCGATTAGAGTCTGTCCAGGGCCAAAGGGCAGTATAGGACAGCCCCTGTCTCCATCATGGAGAACAGAGGCAAAGTTTTCAGCATCAAAGATGCGTGTAAATCAAGTAAGTAAAGATTGGAGCAATAAAAACATTTATTTTGCATTTTAATGATAATTTGAGAGATCAGATGGTGGTTAAGATCTTATTCAACTGCAAATTTTCTGTTCACAGCAGCACCATGACACGAATCAAGAAATCCTTACATTAAAGCAACACATTCTCATACTTCAGCAAGAACATTTAAGCAAAATCTCTCGCATAGCTGAACTGGAAGCTGAGCTTCAAAGCATTAAGGTTAACAGATCTTCATTTATATCTTTCTTGTGGTATTTTTCTGTTGTTTGATCAATAAAAAGTATTTATGGTAACTTGTTGTGAATATCTTTTTTTCGGTGTAGTCTAACAATGTTGTTATCAGTAAACTGAAATCTGCAATTGTTTTTTCTTAGGAAAATGAACTTTCCAGACTAGAGGTCCAATTGCAAAGATTGGAGAAGGAAAACCTGAAAAAAGATGTTAGGATTCTCCAGCTTGAGAAACAATTGCAAGCAGCTGTATTCTCTAGAGCAAAAGTGAGAAGATTCATGTTCAAATTAGCACATAGTGTTGATGAAAAAAATAATACTTGTTGCTAATGAACATTGTTTAACTTATTTTGTTGGTGTGTGATACCAATTATCAAAAGGGGAAACATATTGTAAGTTCTTTAGTGGTAATGGAAGATATTGTAGCTGGGTGCAGAACTAAGTTTAAGGTTCAAGCCTTGACTGTGTTTATTGTGATGTGTTCTTGGAATAGACACTTGACCCTTTGAATCCAAAGAGTCACTAACATTTAATTTATCCATATAATATTGTCCTTGAATCACACATTAAGGTTACGAGAATTAAGGAAATGATCACCGACTAAAGAAATTCCTGACAAATTCTCCTTGTCAGCTCTTTAGGAAATGTTTGTAAAACAGTATGGAGAATATTGATACTTGACTGTGAATATATGAAAATCATATATGTGGGCTGCAGATAAAGACGTGAATATGAAAGCGATCTTTGCAGTAATGAACACTACTTGAGCAGCAGCAAAAATAAGGCCTGAAAAAAAATCAGGCCTGTACAGGATTTGAACCCATGACCTCTGCAATACCTGTGCAGTGTTCTACCAACTGCCCTAGCCAATTGGGAGCTGGGACCAGCTCCCAGTTGGCTTGCTAGCTCATATTCAAATACAGATACTGCTATCAGGATGAAAAGAATTACCTCTCACAGAGTCTCTCTACGTTGTGGAATATTTATGGTTGGCGACAAAGTTTTTATTAGAAAACTCTTCCCATTGTGGAATAGTAGCAAATCTACTTTCCTCTCTGCCACAGAAACTGGGATACATTCCTCCAAATTACCCTTCCAGTGTTGCTGCTGTAAAGAGGATTTTGAGGGATGATTGATTTTGAGGCATCTTCTATCCTTTTTCTTGTTCATAGCTGCCGTCAAACTCAGTGGCAGTCCCTGTGCAGCATCAGTCAGTTTTAGATGGTGTCCCTTCACGTGTGCATGTCGGTAAATCCAATGATGCCACAACATCTCATGTGGTGGGTGGGAAAGATGATGATGAAGTGGAGGGAAAAAAAGATCAGGAAGAGAAAGAAATGGACAAGGAAGATGATATTGGAGATGACGATGCACATAGTGTAGAAGAAGTATAGACTTATGTTATTTAGTGTAAATAAACAAAACACAGTTACTAGTTTGATACATCTGTGCAGTTTATAGAACCATGAGATGCATTTATCATACTCTGTTTTTATGTTACCAAAATGTAGTATTAGCTTTCATGCATCAATACTTTAGATTGTGAACAGTTCCTCTCAATTTTGCACAAATGCTGCATACATTGCATGTAGAATTGTATATGGAACCACCACAATCTTAGATTATATGACATTAGAATTATGGGAAGGGGGGGCAGGTCAAACAACTACTGGTGTGGGAGCTCAGGGTAAGGAATAGACTAGAGATGATGTCCCCCTCACACTTACCCAGTTTTGTGCTATTGGTGTAGACAGTCTTGTATCGCATTGTATTTTTATATGTTTCATACATTGTACATTGCTCTTTCAAAAGAGAAATTAACAACATTCATTTTAAACATAAATTTTTTAGGATGTTAATGTTTTTTTTTTTTGTTTGCTTATATTTATTTAACAAGTATTTTGCATAGCAGGACATTCCTGAAAATAAATAGCTGACAAGGTGTTACATTTAAACTTAAGGCTTATGTTGGATGTGCTTGAAACCTGAAGGCATTTCAAATTCAAATTTGAGAGCTATTACTGTGTTATATGTTTGGACTGTAGAAGAATTGAATTTGGTTAAAAATTTTGATCAGAAGGCTCTCAAGCAATTGGCATGAAATTTCCAATTGTGAAGGAGAGGATGAAAAGAATATATTGTCTCATACATGTGGCAGCATGAGAGAAGCCTTCAAGAAACAAAATAGCTTTCTATTTTGTTTCACTATACACATAGGAAACTTTGTCAATTGATCTTTCCATCCTTAAATTTTTAAATTAATAATTATACAATGCCATCTCTTCAAAAATTGGAGAGCATTATACCAACAACATATACAAATTTCTGTTCTGGGCATGGTGTTGGATTTTAAAATTTTTTCTAGCATTTGTCAAAAGGGAAGAAAAGTAACTTTTCATTTGCTAGCAATTTGCACTAATTCAAAATAATGTTTTACCTCAATATTTTTCAAAAATGTTGGATATATACCCCACCACTTTGCAGCATGACAAATATCAACCACTAATTACCTCCACTTTGGTGAATAATTGTTAATTATTGCAAGTTAATTTGACACTGTCTTAATTGTAACAGGCTGAACTGACCTCCACCTTAAAAAAAAGGTAAAAATGGAAAAAAAAAACAAAAACAAAAGGTTACTGTGTAAATTAAATATGCTTATACTCTATATGTACTTACCCATCAGTTTTAACAAAGCTACATTTAGTACTAATTGTTTATTTCTCAGCTATAATGGTTACTGTTACTTGTGGGCTATTCAGGGAGTGCTCTAGCCTTAGTCAGTTAGAGAATTGCAAATAAATTATTATGAGATATCTAATAGTTAAGTTTTAACCAAATTGTTATTGATGATTTTATTTTGACTGTATTTTTTAAATTGTTTTTACCTATAGTGTACATGTATGCTAAGGTTTGCATAAAAACCTGTCACATTTAACACAAAAAAAAAATTGATTTTTTTTTACTCTTTATCTGATCAGACTATTTATCATTTACTTGTAGCAGGTATTGAATTATTAGTTAAAGACAACTTCCAAGTGCATCCTTTAAGTCAACAACAGAAGTTATTTTTTACCCTTTCGCTGCAAAACCCACTGAGAAGTCCTGTGCTAATGCAAATCAACTTATTTTTCAGAATTCAAACTTGTTTTGAGTTTTATAGGCCAGGATATTTTACATCTCCATCGCCAGGAATTTGACTGGTACTCTCTAACTTTCAATGTACTGAGTAAGTCATGTAGGCACACAAACTGCAAATTGAGTGATGTAGTGAATACATCAAAGAGGCAGTGGAGGGGTGAAGCAGTACCACTTTCCATTCAAAATCCACAACCAGATAATGGACTTGTTGTCATTGGTGGAGATTTAAGCTGTATGGGTACTAGTAAATGTATTAGCATAAATCATATTCTTGCATTAGCATGCATACCAAAATTATGTAAAACAAGAAAAGATTTTGATTCTACCAAAGTTTCAACCAAAAAAAAAGACCACATAAGGATACATAATTTCTTGTGCTAGCTGATGGAATAATTTTGTGGGAATTACATGTGATTACTCTAAGCAGTCTGTATAGATATTGTAGAAACAAATATAGTTTTGAGAGTACAGCACATTGTCACATTCAATAGTGTAGAATGATTTAGTGCTAAGGGTGAAAAAATGTCACTTTTAAAAAATTCCAATCTTGGGAAATGTAAAGATGGGTTTGGTTACCACCTGTAAGGGGGTTCTGCCGTCAATGTGAAATCTGGAGATGTTTGCCTCATGGACCATCTGATTCACCTGTACCCCATTCCTTTTAAACCTTTTAAACCTTTCACTCCCAAAATCTCTTAAGAAATTCTCCTTACTATCTGCCATACAATTCATATCACAATACCTCAGAGAATTTGGTACTGGATCATCTGATAAACCTCTTCTTCTTATCACTTTTCCACTTGATATTGGATTGATATTGTAATGATATTGTAATGAGAAGTACTCATTTACATGTAACTGAGAGATTGAGCACACTACAGGAGATATGAGAAATTTGTTCTTCATCCAGGAGATTCCAGTAAAACTAGGGGGAGTTGGCATATATCACACATTTTGACTTACTTTCCATTGTATTTTATCTTATACCTTGGATTAGAAGTCACTTTTGAAGGCAAAGGTTGTGAAACAAGAAATGTCTTTTTTAACTGGAACTGTAACAGTTGTTTTCTATTGTTGTCCAAGAACATGACCTTTGGCAGACTCTCAAACATTTCCTATGTTAACCGAGAGGTATGCAAAATGGCTGTGTGAATCACATTTCAAAGAAGCATTTTAACTCCTTGGTTTGCCCATTACCTTCACTGCAGTAAAGAGTAATTTTGTGCTAAACACTCTTCTGATTGATAGGGATGTCTATGATTATGCTATAAAAAGTTTAAAAGTACCAGTTAGATTTAACATGGTGGTTCAGTTCCTGTGAATCTCTCACACTTTGATCATACTCCTGCCACCAAAGATCCCTCTGACCATCACTATCATGGTTAGATGAATGAGCAAAATTGTACTTTTCTGGTCTTGGACAGCCATAATGTTCTTGAGAGGCAAAATACTTATTTTCCACTTGACCTGCTGCTTTGCGCTTTAAATTTTCATGAATTCTATCACAAACAAAACACTCAAATCCTGTAACATAATTCTGTTCCTCATAGGATGTCCCCCATGGTCGGTTTTTCATGAACGATAATAGTCTCTCATTAGTAATTCCTTGATCTTTAAATTCTAAGTACTTGGCATATTCTTTATCATTTTTATCCAGCTTTTTAATGAAATTAGCCAGATCCTTTGGACTTTTGAAATCATCCACATTTATAATAGTGTGATTATTTGGCATCCAGTCCTGGATGCTTGGTGATCCTTTATAAATTGGCACAGACCCTAAGACAAGAGGTCTCCAGAGTTTTTCAGTTATGTAGTCTTCACAAATTGCATTCTCAAAGGCCAATGTAAACTTATACTTTGCAATAATATCATGGAAACCATCATCATCCATGGTTAAAGGACTCTTAAATGCTTCTGGAAGATCTTTATTGTGCAAGCAGGCCCCATAGGAGTCTATTTTTATAAATTTCATTAGCTCTGTCACAAATTCATCTCTGTCAGAGGGTGGATTACATCCGCTCTGGACATACACAACTGATGCAAGATCATAAGTGCTCTTCTCATGGATGTCAAACCTTGGCTTCTTCAATAATTCAGGTATAGATGACAGCATTTGAGTGATTAATGGGTAATCTGATGATCTCCGAAATGTAGCAGTGTGGTTAAAAAGTTCAATGGTAGTATCATGGTGGAGAAGAGGGTTGTTTTTTGGGGATTCTTCATGGAACAGGCCCCATTCATGGTGTCCTGATAATCAGAAAGATATATGAGTTAGACTGTGTAGAAACACCAGTTTTTCCTGGCAGGCCATACTCTTATTTTATTTTTCAGTTTTTGTCACAATGTGCAGGTTATGCAAGGCAGGGCATGCTAAAAAAATTTGTGGCTGTTGTTAGTCCATAATCATGTCACCTTCATTCTCATTACCTAACAAAGTCTGAAACCACTGATTGCCTCTAGGGGTAAAAGCATGTAAAGAAAGGTAACTGATCCCTTAAAACTGTATGTATTGCATGCACTTTAGAACTACAGATCATATATATGACTAAATTTCCTGACAAATAGTGGTAAGTAATAGCGAAAAAAAGGTCTTACCAAGCCTTGGTAATGGAAGGTCTGTTGGAGTGAAATATGTACCATAGAACAGAAAAGCCTGGGTTCTTGGATGTGTTTTAAATTTGCGTGCCTCTGTGAAATAGCACTCCCCAAGTTTACATCTCTTGATATCATTTCCATGTGTAAAAGAGGTCCACCAGATAATTATGGGCAATTTGTACTTGGCTGCATATGCTGCAGGCTTGCGCAGGTTTTTCAAGGTGTGGTCAATGCTATCATAGTAAACTTCTTCTGAAAGATAATGCAAGTGAAATAAACAAGACAAACTGCATTGGATTAAATAAGGTAAAATAACTAGTTATTGTTACAGTCTGACTTCCATGGTACTGAACCAGCCCAGTTAATTAATGCACCTGACAGGTATGCATTCTGGACTTTCTCTGAAGCAGATCAATTTGGCTGGCTCAGTTTTCAGGAACTCCCCTCATTACCAGGTACTATGTGAAAGGTGGGATCTGTTCATCAAGATCTCCATAATAGGGGGAAATATTCCCTATGGACAATTGAGCTTAATAACCAGAATTAACTAGAAAAGTAACTCCTTGTTAATTTTGGTAACTTGGCTGAAATTCCTAGACTGATATTCAATCGAGCTGAAATGCCAGGAAATTCCGCATTTATTCATCCGAAATTCTGAATGGACATCAGTTTCCCCAATTCCCACCACCGCCATCCTTTCCTCTTTCAAAAGAAACAAACAATAATTTAGCATGTTATCAGGGCTCATCGTTCCGTCATGCAGGACTGAGCAAAAATCGTGCATACAATGAGGCCGGAAGTGCTGACGCTGACGGTAGTCCCACTACGTATAAGTATTTGAAAATCATCGTTGGACGAAACATGAGATTTGTACAGTCTGCGATATGCCCACCTTCAGAATATCGTTCATTCCAATTTTCATCCACCTCTAGAAAATTGAATATTTTATCTTCCGTTTCCTTGATTCCAACAGCGTCCACACTCCATGATTGGATCACCTCTCCACCTTCATCAAAGAAGGTTTCATCATCATCGAAGCTCAAAAAAATATTAGTGGATAGCAGAAGTATCGTAAGCACCAAACACAAGACAACAAATTTTCGGAAGGAAATCCAGGATCCGCTCACCGCCATTCGCTAGTTGCGACAGGAAGTGCGAAGTGAACGGCGGGAAAATAAATGAAAGAAATTAAACTCATTTTGATTGGTCATTTTTAGACAAATCATAATAAATTGGACCAATCACACATCATGATATAATGGTTTTTGACTATTGTACCACGTTTTTTAAGAGATCGTGAACTCGCTTTCGAAGCCTGTGGCAACTTTTCGTGCGAGTCAGCAAATTACAATTTAGAAATGCCTCCTAAATTGAAATTTGGCGAAGGAGAACGTATTCTATGCTACCACGGTCCTTTGATATACGAAGCAAAGTGTATGAAAGGGCAGATGAAGGATAAAGTGACAAGATATCTCATTCATTACAATGGTTGGAACAAAAATTGGGACGAGTGGGTACCGGAAAATCGGGTGCTCAAATTTAACGAGGCTAATCTTCAAAAACAGAGGGAGCTCAGAGAACAAAACTTGTAAGTCTTTTTGCAGTCTCCGAAGAACTTTAATCGTATCTTCGCGAAAAAAACCGATAACCTGTGTTCGAAGTTCGTAGATCAGTCTCATCAGTCTCCGGTTCTGCTAACCACGTGCGCTGTAGTTGATGCAAGAAACCTTTCTCTTTCTTTTTCACAGATGTGCGGCTTAATTGAAACGTATACGTGGCTGTTGTTAATTGTGCTTCTCTTAAGTCTAAAGTGAAATTCACCAATTATTCATTTTCGTGATGGAGTTAAGAATTTTTTTGGTTTTTATTTTTAGCAAATTACAAACACAACCTCATGATTGAGCTAGCTTGAGTTTATATTTGCTAGCAGCAAAACTAGCTCATAGACAGAAATAGTACAAATTTGGATATATCGTGTCCATGGAATTGGCTGTAACAGGATAAATTCTACTGTCGTCAACTTTCATAAGTAAATATTTATCAAGGGATCGGAGTTAGTTGGATCAATACAATGCTTTAAAAGCTGTGCTGTCTTGGAAAACTAAGATAATGCAAGACCAGAACGATGCAAAACAATAAGTTTTACTAAGCCTCATTCATTGTGTCTAATCCCAATAATATTATTTTGATTATTCCAAATCACTTTGAGGGGTTTTTCTCAGTAGCTATTTAGTTGTCAAAGCAAGGTACATGCAATTCAACAGTGGAAGTCTGTTGCATAAGATGTGATTGTAAACTTGATGGGAGGAATTCTTTTCAAAAGTGGTGCATGAAGTTAATGGAATTTTAAAGGAACCAGGAGATATGTTGTCTTCCCTGTAGATGCAATTTTATGGTTTATTGCATGGTATCAATCCCACCTTTCCTCACCAATCAAACAAAACAGTACTGTAGTTATTGTTTGAATACAATACACAAAACAAAGGCATTGCTGACAATATTGGATGCAGAACCAAGAAGAGTCAGGGAAAGCTTAACTAATTCTTGCCAAGTAATATCTTTTTTTTCCACATTGCTATTAATGATGAACATTTTATCCGAGTGATATTGTCTTTGGAAATGTCTGGAGAGAAGCGCATGTCAGCATCAAATTTTCAATATGAAGATAACACACTGTTTGAGGGGTTCTACAGTAATTTGGCGATATTTTGTAATCATGAGAGTGTTTTTGAGAGAGAAATGTAGAACAACCTTAACCAAATGTTAAATGTGATTTAATATGAAAGTTCTTGTTTGTCTGTTTTTGTTATTATTGTGGTAAAATCTCTATGAAGAACTGTGAATGGGATTGAAGTTAATTGGCACAGCTTTGAAAAAAGCCATTAGTAACTCAATTCTCAGTGACTGCTTGTAGAATTTGAAGTTTCTTTCTAATTTACTTGTACCATCATGGTTGTAATGGCTTTGTCTCTTGCCTGGTGAGGTGATGGAAATAGTCATAGCTCTTTTGGGTTTGGGTTTTGGTTATTGGCTGGGATTTTTCAACAAAATATTTACTGTGGCTGTCTCAAAATATCCAATATCAACTAAGTGAAGTATTTGAATTCACACCTGTAAAATGTTGGGATAAACTGACAAATGAATGGCTGGTAAACCTGTACAGACTGAATTTTTATTTTATATCTTATTTCAAAAACTGTGACTGCATATTTTTTTCTCCAAGCACTTAGGTTCCATTGAGGTAAATTGAAACCTCTTTGCATTGCATATTAGGTTTTAACCTTTCTGTTTCCAGAACATTCTTTAAAAAATATTGTGAAGTTGTGCTCAGACTCAGAAACAATTGGTTGTACAAATATCTGTTATTCAAAGATGAAAGTTTATCACTGGTCCTTTGATTTAAATTATTTTATTTGGAAAAAGTTAAAATCAGTAGCAGCTTTGCCAATTAACCAAAAAGTCAAGACATATATGCTCATGAAAGATAGTTGTTTGCAAATTTTACACAGCAGTTGAATACGGGCTGTGAAAGAAGAACAGTGTGGTGCAAAGTTGTGAAGAGCCTCACATAGTAATCAAGCAAAAATCATTTTCATTCTACCCACAGGGTACACACAGTTATTGTGCTATCTATTTCACTTCAAAGAAAAAAATTTGAACAATTTAGTGGTGAATGACAGTTTTTATTTCTACAGATTTTTATTGAAATATTGCTGTGCACTGTATGACATTAGGGTGCTGCTTGGGTCTTTGGTTTACAAATGATTTTGTTCAGAGATACTTATCAAGAGCATTCCAGGCTGTGACCATTTTGGTTGCTGTGGCAAGTTGTAGAAATTTTTAGTGCAAAATTTTCACACATGGTTATCAGACCAGTGACTTGTATCTAGTGGTTGTGCAGAAAGCTGTAACATTTTTTGTCACTTATTGTTTAGGGTCCTAAGTTAAAGGGTTCTTTTTTCAAGCATTTTGTTAGTTAAAGAATAAATGAAGAAAGTGTTACTCACCAGCTTAGGTTTGTTCATATTGGGGAAAACTATCACCTCTGTCTTGAGTATTGCCTTCAGCATTGGGCAGTATCTAAGACATAGGGCACAAATTTTCCTGATATAGACCTCCTGGCTGGTGAATAACATACATTAATTAATACTCTGACACTGCCTTTTTCATCTGTATTTTGTTTCATTTTTTCCCTCAAAAGAGAAATTGACTTGGGGCAAACATTTTAAGTTTTTTTGGGTGGCTAGATGATGGCATCTAAAAGTGTTGAACTTTGAGCTCTAATGTGAATGTGAAAATTCACATTTATCTTCAATTTATTTTTTTTATTTTAACTTCCATCATAATGATGTGTTAAGTTAAGACTCTGACTTAGAAAACTGTTTTCTTTTGGCAGAAAAAGCAAGAAATCAAGAAAGAGAACAGACAAACAAGGAGGGGACAGTGAGAAACCTTTGAAACGCGAGTCAGTTGTAGATGCCCCTGGGCCAGCACGGAAAAAGAGATCAAGGATAGTTAATCCAATAGAAAATGATGAAAACTACATATCACGTGTTGATGTAAAAATAACTATTCCAGATGATCTCAAACAATGGCTCATAGATGACTGGGATCTTGTTACTCGGCAAAAACAGCTTGTCCCTATTCCAAGGAAAAAGAATATTAAAGAAATTTTGGATGAATACATAAAATCAAGAACTGCTAATCCCGATGAAGGGTTCAAGCCAGGAGTTGTTCAAGAGGTTGCAGATGGTATTCAGGAGTATTTTAATGTTATGCTTGGAACACAGTTGCTCTATAAGTTTGAAAGGACTCAGTATGGCGATATTCTTGCTGAACACACAAATCTTCCCATGTCTCATTTATATGGTGCAGAACACTTGCTTAGACTTTTTGTGAAGTTAGGGAATGCCTTGTCTTTTTCCAACTTGGATGAAAAAAGTGTTCAATTTGTGGTTACGCACATTCAAGACTTCCTAGACTATCTGTCAAAGAAAGCAGATAGTTTGTTTACCACAGACTATGAGACTGCCACACCAGAGTACCATCGCAGGGCAGCAACGTGAAGTATTTAAAGACAGCAATGTGAATTATTTTATGACTAATGACATAAATTTTCAAATTCCATGCACTCTTTCATGTAAACTGCAACAGAATGTGGTAAATTAAACTTTTCAGAAGGAAACATATCTCAAGTTTTGAATGCAGTGCTTTGTTTTCATGAATTATACAGACTTTGTTTTAAAGTGTGTTAGTTTTGGACTAACTGTTAATCTACGTAGTAAAGTTTTATCTCTTCACTAGGCCTCCAAACATGGTTATGAAAATTATCTCTCTATGATCCCATATTTTGTATTTACTAAGTAGTGTATTAAACATGCTTTGTGTCTATAGTTTACTTATGCATTGATAAATGTTTGAAGCTTCAACATCCCCTCCCCCCTTGCCTTTAGTAACCTCTTGGCATTTGAACTTTTGAAGACTGTTTTGTTCAAATTCCTGCTTCCCAGAAAAATAATTGTGTTTAAATGCCTCACTTAATTTTTGTTGTAAATGCAAAATAAGAAACTATGACTTTTTTCACAATGGCCGAGCCTTAAGACCTAGACCTTGCTATTTTCTGCCAAGAGTGAACTATTTATCTTAAATTATCATTACACCAGAATACACAACAAATATTTGGCTGGAAAGACTTGACACTTGTGGCTCAAATTCCTCACCCCAAGCAGGCTAGGTTGAAATTCTCCATCCCCTGGACATGGATGACAGTCAAATGCACGGGAAAGGTGGGGAGGGGGGTATGTTTAAGCTTTGAATTGACTAGTGCATTAGTGTGTTAATATTCAATCTGGTTCTTTGTGGTGTGTATGATTTATCTGAATTATTAGTCATTACATTTCTACTTTTGAGTGATCTGATATACTTTCCAATTTACTGAAAAACTAATAAAGTGATTCATAAGATGTTATTGAAAAAAGGAAACTTTTTTTTAGCCAACTACTATAGTGTTGTGTTGTGTTGGAAATGTTTACCTTTTTAATAAAATTTCTCTTCTTTTTGAACTGTATACAACACTGAAACTTTGATGTTACAAAGTGACAGAAATGAGAACAATTATATGCCATAATGGAGGTCGAACAACCAGTTAACTTGCCACATCAATTACAGAACCACAATGCTGGCCCACAAACAACTGGTAGGCTGGTTATGGTAAAAAAATCATCCTTTTACTGAGTTTTAGTATACCCCCAAAAGGTTATTTCTGAGTTAAAGAATGCACACTCTCTAAATGAGGCCAACTACAAAACAACTAGCCTTTGTAGCTGGTGGAGTTGAAGTTGCCTTCTACTTGTTCTACTAGCTCCACTTCCCAGGGCTTACAGGCCACAAAAGTACAAACTTAAAGCTTTAAGATGATCAAGACTGTGGTGAAATAAAATTTTAATATTTTGATATTTGAAGAAAGATTATGTTGCGAAAATGAGTTTCATTTTCATATGAAAAGCACCATGCTCTCCCTTGTTCTAAAGCAGAAGCCTTAATCAACTTGTATTAGAATCAAATAGCATCAGGGGAGGGATAAAAGAGTAAGACTGTTATGTCACAAAAAGGTAGCCATTTTTCGGGGCCAGTTTTGTAAACGTTAAATCTCAGAATGAATTAGAATGGTTACAGTACGTGTCTTATATAGTTTTAAATAAGCAAGATAACGGTTTTGTGGTTTTTCCTTCCAATCGATCTTCAAGGCACAGTCGCCCAGGGACTTTGCATTTTTTATTCTACTTTTTGCAATTTTTTTTATCTTAACAATGTAAGCAAAGCGGTAGATAGTTGCAGCAGAAATTTCACCTGAATGAGACTGTGGCCTCACTTTGAAATCAATCGGCTCCCAAGGAGACTGGGAGCTAGTTGCACCAGGACTGCGAACTGAGCATGTCACCCATGTGATTCTGTTAGAGCTCGCAATTTTCGTTCGATAGACAAGAAAACTTACCGTCTGCTTAATGGAATAGCGGGTTGATTTTACCATTTGGAAGGAAGCAATGACAAACAGCACTGTGTTCTTTTGATCAAAGGGAATTTCAAAGGTGAGGATCTTTCGTAAACCCGGTTTGCATGCAGCTTTCCTCAGTTCAGCGGCGCGTATGTTAAATCGCGCCTTTCTTGTAGTCAGGGCAGGGTCTTTTAATTGTGTTCTGATTGAAATATTTGCGGCTGAATTGCTATTTTGGCGTCAAATTTGTGCTTTATTTTCAGATTTTGAAATATCCGCCTCGATTCCATCTTTAAAACCTGTTCAATTTCCGTTTTGAGCCGACCCTTTTTGTCCGAAAGGTGTCATTTGATTGTGTCCTAACTCGATTTTTTCTGTTGAAAATCCTAAATCAGCGGTTGTTATGCGTGACTTCTAAGGTAATTGCGGCTCTATGCAATAGAAATTCATTGTGCTATAAGAAATTAACGGTAATAATGCAAACCTCTGAGAAATTTAGAGATGTTTCTTGGTGCCAAAATTACTTTGTGATTCGGTGTATCTGTGATTCAATCGTTTGAAAGCGTCCAGCTCATAGTAGCCTGATATTACACGCTGCCCCAGTCTTAACGGCAAATAGTTAATCCTCCATACCTAAAACGAGTTTTCGCGGCCATTTTGAACTGTAAATGAAATATGGCAGCTAGGGTCAGAGGTGTTGCGTATCGAGTTAATTAACCGTACAATGACTCTTGTAATCATGGCTTTGATATTGAAAGTATTAGTACAGTCTGAGAATACTTTTGCAAGGTAGCTTTACGGTTCACAGATAAGGAGATCCTTGGGACCATTGAAAAGGTGGTACTTGGTCAAAGTCAATGAAGGGACGAATATCTGAAACTGAACATTCTTTAGTTTGAAGTTTGTTTATTCATAAATACCTAGCAGTTCAAAAACTGAATTATATATTTATATGACAAAAATTAAATAATACAAATCTTATCAGTAACTAATCTATCTTAAATAAAAGGAAAAAAAAAAAAGCTTACAGAAGATAAGCTGCTAAAAAAGTTACAATTCAAGCTGTGAAATTTGAAAACTCTAAACTATAAATTAGTTGCGTTGAGCCATGAAGAGATAATAAAGCTATTCCTTAAACAGTCAGTTATAAAACGTGGCATGTTAAAAGGTCACGCACATCTTAATGAGTAGTTTCATGCGGTGTAAGTAATAACTTATAAAGGCAGTGATTGTTGTCATTTACAATTGTATCAGAAAGTGTCTCACATATTTTGTCATAGTGGGTTGCTAGCTCCTTAAAGTTCATAACAAGAGTTTCATGATAGCTAACACCAGGGAAGATGATGGACATTGCTCTCTTCTGTACTCGTTACAATTCTTGTATTAAATATTTTGCAAACTAAAGTGAAAAGCTGGTACTGCATTGTCCATAAATTATCTAATACAGCAAGAGTATGAGAGCCCTAAATCAGTGCAAGAACTTTTGCTCTCTTAAGTTGTACCAAAAAATATATGCCTCTTTAATATAGTGCCTCTTTGTATTAGCTTGAAAATGTGAATGGTCAAGTTAGCAGAGACAATTTTGGATAACAGTTTGTGTGGAAATTCAATCCTTTCTATAAAGCTGAGATATGTGTGAAAGCCTGGTTTCAGTTCATGTTTAATTTGGATTCCTTGATGAACAAGGCTTGACTTTTTAACCTTTTAATTCCTAGAAGGGATTAACATGTTACCTCTCCCTTTAATATCCATACAATATTCAGTAAACAGGTAATGAGAATACTCAAACTTATCAGGTTGAAATTGTTATCTTGATCTAACACCAAATTCCCATAACTTATTGACCAGAAATTGTCCAGCAACCAGAAGGGAGAATCAACAATCAGATCTTGGGATTTAAAGGGTCTAGTAATGTCATAAGTTTTGCTGGGTAGAGAATTGTTCACCTGGGAAGTGTTTCTGCTGGGTTACCAAAATCATACTAACTTTCTTTGTAATATGATGAGAACCTTCCTTTTTTTACTGTAGTTCAGTAAGATGGTGACAGTGCCATCCCCTCAGTGTGTGGGCCGCGAGTTTGTGCGCCAGTATTATACCCTTCTCAATCAAGAGCCCGTACAGATTCACAGGTATAATGTAGATGATACTCATAATTGAAGTCATATAGCCAAAGTTGTGCAATAGTGTAGAAGATCATTCTTTCCAGTGGAGTTATTGTTGTGCTGAAAAGTAGTTGCCACTTCAGAGTTCCATCTTGTGACTTTGCTTTCTTTTTATCCATCATTATTGTCAAAATCACCAGCTTTGTAGCTTATGGCAAGATAATTGTTTAGTTTGGCTGTATAGCCATCATGTGATACAGACTCACCTGTTGGTGGGAGAAAATAAACTTGATATCAAAAGTCTCTGTTATATTGAACTGTGCATAGAATAAATGTAGACTGAGCTAAAGGTGCACTACATATTAACATGTATTCAATGAGGCTGTAACAATAATTTTGTATATTATGAATGTTCTTTGTCCAGGTTTTACACGAAGCAATCCTGGTTTCTTCATGGGAGGGCTGAGAATGGACTAAATGAACCCCCTGTGGTTGGCCAAGAGGTATGTGTGCTGTGTTAGACTAAGTCTACTGCCTCTTACTTCCGGAGCTTGTTAAAGTTTCATGATAAGCTTCAGGTTTCAGTTTTGTTAGTATGAATTAGCTAAGATTATTATATCTCCTTCTGAAATGGGTGGTAACCATTTCAAACTTGTGGGGATAGAGGCTTTGTGAGCATAGAGCCCAAATCAATAGCTCAGTGAGCTTACAGGTTAACTCTCATAATGTGATGGTTAATTCTCCCCTTTAGCTGGTACACATTTCATCTTTAAGTTTTTGCAATTGTTTTATGTTAGATCAAGATAACTTCTACCAGATAGGTTTGAGTATTCTCAATACCTGTTTGCTTGATGATATATGCAAATTATGAAGAGAAGTTACATATCAATCACTTCTGAGAGTTAAAGGGTGAAACAAAAAAAGAACAATCAATATATAAACTCAGAGAAGCGACTTAAGTTTAACTGAATCGTAAAGTTAAATCTTGCTATTTTTTTATATTCTTTTAGGCAATTTACAACAAGATCAAAGAACTCAATTTCAATGACTGCCACACAAAGATAAGACAAGTGGACAGTCACTCCACTGTTGGGGGTGGGGTAGTAGTGCAGGTAAAGTTCAAATTAAATCTGCAAAGCAATTAAATTTTGAGGATGTCTCGAACTCAGTCTATTAGTGGTTTAATTTACTTATGATACATGCCAGGGTGTGAAATTGTGCCTAATATAGGTGCCAATACAGCTAACTTTTTCACTTTGGCGACCAAATCCTGGAAATTAGTCGCCAAATTGCTGACTAGAATATTTCATCATAACCTTACCAAGAGATATAGTGAATTAAAAAGATTTGCAGAGATAAATCCGTTGCAAACTTCCTCGTTAAGTTTGTTTCTAAAACGCAACAGATGCATCTCGATCGATAACTAGACGCCATCTTGGAATTAAGTGAGCTTTAACATTGTATATCGTCCATCATAGTGTCCACTTTGTAGCACGTTAGAGATCTTTTCCCAAACTTAATTTTGGAGGGTCTATCTAGAATGCTGATGGCTTAAAAGAAGGTTTTGTTTGTCTTTGAAAATGGCAACCAACTTTTTTTCACTTGGCTACCACTTTGAAGAATTTAGGAGCCAAGTGGCTATCAGAAAAAAATTAATTTCATGCCCTGCATGCCTTTTAGTTTTAGTAGGAACTGCTAAATAGACTATAATTTTCTGCTGGTTAAGAGGTATATTTTGTAGCTCAGTGATTCCCTTTTTGGGGGGCATTTCTTTACCTAAGCTGTAAGAAGTTGATTAATTCTTTAAAACGTTCAGATGTAGGTTGCAAGTTACATGCAGTAGTGTAGTAGAGAAGTGTTTAAAATC